TCAAACAGCTTCTAAGGAGGTGCAGAAATGGCTCCAGACACCGGGAATATAACTTCTCAGACAGAGGGCACCTTGACATATGACCCTCCAGACTGGGGAGCAGCAGCTAAGACCCCCATTAATCATTAAAACACTAAAAAAAGTCATGGTACAATAAAAATATGACATGAACACTAGCCCAATCCCTAAAGCGTCTAACATTTTTAAAAGATAACTATGGTTAACTATCAAAGACCTCCTCCTGGTCCACTGAAACAAGCCCTACATCCAGATTAGAAAGTTTGCTAACAATAAAAACATCATGAATTAAGAACAAATTATCAAAAATACAGCTGTTAGGAATAGGATATATTTGATCAGGGTGTATCAAAGAGTCCAGGCAGTCCTTCAGTCAGTTGACTACGACCCTGGATATAATCTTATAATCAGAGCAGAGAAGGGAAAATAGGTCTCCAATTCTGTAAATCACAGAGGTTCCCTTTTCTGTGCAACAGGAAATCACTGCTCTGGGGCAACTGAGAGGCAGCTCTTTCTCCTGGATACACTCCAGCACCAGTGGAAAAAAGTCAGGATCAATAAGATGTCGGAAATATTTGTAGAATTCAGATGGCAGCCCATAAATACCTGGGGCCTTGCCTGTAGAGAGCTGTTGGAGCTCTACCAGTACCAGCATATCACAGGTTTCGGACGAATACAGAGTACTGTAAAAGGAAACAGTTGCTTTCTGGATCTCAGCAGGGTCAGTCATCAAATGACCATCCAGCAGCCAAGGACAAGAGATCTGCTGATGGTCTGTTGTCTTTTTTTCTTCAACCTGTAAAAAAAACCTTCTGGGAACATGAGTATCATGTAGCTGGATAAAATGGGCCCATCTTAGGACCCCCTGCACCTTCTCTTCCAACAACTATCTCAGGAGTCAGTACATCTCATTTAGAGTTTGGTGAATCTGTTCCAAGGTCACCATGGTTGCCATCTGCAAGGTTGTCATGAAGGTCCAAGATATCTCATTCCAGGGCACTCATGGCCTGATGCAAGGACCATGTGGAGGCCTGGATATGCTGCTGGCAGAACAGTTGTATCTGGACCTTCTCGACACCCCACGGCTGTCTTAGGGGTTCGTACAGGGGCTTTTGCTGCCGCCAAGCTCCCAAACCACAGTGAATATCTGGGTGAAATTCAAGTCCTTTAATAATTTACTGTTAAAGCACCACTGAGAAGCACAGGCAGGAAGAGAGAGAAATACACTGATCAGACAAGTGAGTGGGAAATACCAAGGACCAAACAAACATTCACACTGTCCTTCATAGTATAAAAGTGATCTAATCTAGCACCTGAGTTGTGTTTGGGAGTAGCCTTCACCCAAGAGTACTGCCTAACAGTGAGGTGAGAGAACCTCCAAACATCTACTAGCCCAAAGGTCTGCAGGAGACAAGACACTTCCCTGGTTGCCTCAGGGTGTGGTTCCTCACGGTTCCTATCTAAAACATAATCTACATAGCAATTGAAATCCCCTCCCAGGACAATAATAGTATCGGGTTCACAGCCAAGCCTGGAATGGGCAAGTGTCTGCAGAAAGGAGAGACAATCTCACTCCACAGTAGGGACATACACAGTAAAAAGATTAAAAACAATGCTAGTATGTCTCCCCAGCTGGAGAAACCAGCCCTGCACAATCTTCTCTACAGACAGGATCTGCGCCCCTGCTCCCCAGGAAAAGAGAACAGCTACCACAGCAGTGAAATTAGAGTCATGGCTCAAGAAAACTTCCCCTTTCCATTCCTTCAACCAGTTCCCCTGATTATCAGGGTCTGAGTGGGTCTCTTGCAAAAGGACCAGATCAGCCCATTTTTGTCTGAGAAATTCAAAGAGTTGTGCCCTTTTATGACCCCCTGCAACCATTAATATTTAGAGAGCCAAGGTAGAGCAGCACCATGAAGACTGGATGGAGAGAGTCAAAGAGCAGAGAGAAACATTGGAAAGTGGAAGTATCTGGGAAAAAATGAACCACTGGGAGGCCAATATATCTTGAACAATCCCAGCATACTTCCTCACCTTGCTCAACAACTTTTTGAGAAGAAAACATTTCCTGCGATCAACAGAGGTATCTTTCAAGACAAGGGCAGCTAAGTGAACAAAGTACTGTAAATCGTAAGAACATAAGAATGGCCATACTGCGTCAGACCAGAAGTCCATCTAGCCCAGTATCCTGTCTTCTGACGGTAGCCAATGCCAGGTGCCCCAGAGGGAATGAACAGAACAGGTAATCATTAAGTCAAGGATTGACAACCTTTGGCATGGGGCCTGCCAGGGTAAGCCCCCTGGCGGGCTGGGCTGGTTTGTTTACCTGCCGCGTCCGGAGGTTTGGCCAATTGCAGCTCCCACTTGCCGTGGTTCGCCATTCTAGGCCAATGGGGGCTATGGGAAGTGGTGGCTAGCACATCCCTCGGCCACACTGCTTCCCGCAGCCTCCATTGGCCTATAATGGCGAACCATGGCCAGTGGAAGCTTCTGGCAAACAGAGGCTAGGGAAATCAGGGAAATAGGCCTCAACCTCAAATCTCCACTTTCCTTTAGTGCTATCCAAAAGGTCACTAATCTCTTGCATACTCTACGCACCCTTCCTAGGTAGCTGACTGGCTAGGGCATCAGGAACCAGTGACGAGTCAAATAGATCATCAACAATCTCTTCTATCTCCCTCAGACTCTGCCAGCTCAGAAGAACATTGAGCTAATATTGTAAAATTCTCATTTGCGAAGGAGAGAGATTCAGTAGGAGCATCTGGCGTATCCATTTTCCCAAGAGTGAAAGGCAGTACAGTCCCAGGCTGGAACATAGTGTCATCTCTGCAGTACGCATGATCGTGGACTTGAGGACATACCATCTGAGGGGAAGACAGCACCCCACTGAGAACTCTAGGCATGGAGCTATCCCCTAGCACAATGCTATCCTCCTTCTCAGGGCACACAGCTCCACCCTCAATCGCTATCAGAATCTCTTGTTCCTCCAAAGTCTTAGCCCAGAGGTGGGCAACATACAGCCCACGGGACCGTCCTACCCGGCCCCTGAGCTCCCGGCCCAGGAGGCTCGCCCCCGGCCCCTCCCCCATTGTTCCCCCTCCCCCATAGCCATGCTGCCACACGAGCAGCGTGGCTTGCACCCACCCACCTCCCAGGCTTTCCAACAAGCCAGTCCTCCTGCTCTGAGCGGCCGATAAGGGGGCGGGGAGAGGGAGGGGCAGGAGATCCCGGGGGGCAGTCAGGGGACAGGGGGTGGTCGGATGGGGCAGAGGTTCAGGAAGGGGGGCAGTCAGGAGACAGGGAGCAGGGGGCGTTGGATAGGGGGTGGGATCCTGGGGAGGGCAGTTAGGGACAGGGGTCCTGGGAGGGGACGGTCAGGGGACAAGAAGTGGGGGGTGGATGGGTCAGGGGTCCTGGGGGGCCTGTCGGGGGAAGGGGTGTGGATAGGGGTCAGGGCAGTCAGGGGACAAGGAGCAGGGGGGCTTAGATAGGGTGGGGTCCTCGGAGGCGGTGGTCAGGGGACAAGGAGCAGGAGGGTTGGATGGGTCGGGGGTTCTGAGGGAGGTAGTCAGGGGGTGGGAAATGGGAGGGGGCGGATAGGGCACGGGGGCCAGGCTGTTTGGGGAGGCACAGCCTTCCCTACCCAGCACTCCATACTGTTTCACAACTCTGATGTGGCCCTCGGGCCAGAAAGTTTGCCCACCCACCTTAGCCCCTTTAGAAACAGTCCCACATAAATCCATCTCATCGGTGTACTCTTCACCCCCATCTCTAGAACCTGTCTCTGCCTCCTCTGCAGGGAGGTGCTCCTCGACCTCCAGGATTTGCTTCTTTCCAGGCACAAGTGATGGGATCAAAACAGAGGCTTCCTCTGGGGAGGCTGCTCCCTAGACAACAGCAGATCACATATGGCGCGTGGGAGGATAGAATCTGGCGGTACAGATGCAGGCTCTGTCTCCTGCTGGTTTCTTGATATCCCAACCTCTTCTCCACTACCCCGGGATCCCACATTCTTACCAGGGGCCCCCAAGCCGGCAGTGCATGGGCAGGAACCTCTCAAATGACCAGGGTCTCCACGCAGGAAACATTTAATATTTTCAGAGGTAGCAAACACTGTATAATCTGTCCCATCTATGTGGTCCTTTAACACCAGGTTCAAGGGTGGTTCACAGTTACTTAGAACCAAATAATCCTGGCATTGGAATGACATATCATGCCTCCCATTTGGGTTCTTGCAGCCCAGCAGAATCATCCTGACAGCAGAAACTATGTTCCCATAATGGGAGAGATCAGGCACTAGGGTCACTGTGAAGGAAGGGCAGGGGGGCACTGGAAAAGCTACTTTAGTAGCAGAAGGAAACAAGAGGAAAACTAGAACAAAAGACTCCTTCATCCAGAGTCCTTCCTGTCTCAAATCATTCACAAACTGTTCGTGGGCCAGGAAAATCACTATAGATTTATTCATTCAAGAGGCAGATTTTATATTAGCACAGCCAATAACCTTACCTACACTCAGCAACACTTCCCTTCACTGTGCAGGAGACAGCAGGCACACCTCAAACCCCTTGCTTGTGGGTCCTGTGATTTCTGAAATTAGGGAGAAGCATCACTTGATCTGCCGTGTGTGTGATTCAGGTTGAATTCAGTCCCCTTTTATTCCTGTTGAGAAGGAGAATCTACTTTGCTTCTCTCTCTCTCTCTCCCCAGGAGAATGGGGCAAGAGAAAGATGTCAGCCTGCCCTCTTGCCACACTCCAGATACCCTCCATACTGTAACGTGTTTTTGTATTTGAAATAGAGATTATAAATTGTTTGTGCTTTAGAATAAGTTATACTTTATGCCTTTACATTTGGTTAAGGTATTTGACCATGTATTAGATATGGAGCCTAAAATTCAAAATGGCGTGCCTGCCAAACAACAGCTCGACTCCATCTTTGTTTAGCTTCTTGTTGAAGTTTTGCACCCTTTTGGAACTTTGGCAGGAACGGCAGCCAACGGTCAGCATAGAACTGGTTCAAACAGGTTCCAGCAGGAGAGCTGCCAGTTTTACCTCAGAACTTTGGCGCGCTTGTGGACCTGCTGCCTAGCTGCTGTCCGTCCTAGAGACAGCCATGGTATTGTTGTATTTGCGCAGCAACGTGGACCAGAAGATCAGCATCTGAAGACATCAGCATTAAGAACTGAGACTGTGCTTACCAATCTCTGAACTCCACATCATTTTCAGAGAAAGGTACAGAGGTCCTGTTGATCGCTCACCCTCGAGTGATCACAGAGCCAGGCCTCTCTTCAGCATCAGCACATCCTGTTGATCTCCCGCTAAGAAGTGGTTGAGACCCAGGATTCATCAATTGCCTGTGATAACGGTTTAGTACCATCTACTGCCTATCGACACCTAGAAACACTGCAGTATCTGGGGTATTTTATTTTAGGTTTATTTGTTTATTGCCAAGGTACCTATTTGGTTGGGCCTGGGTTTTAGACCCAAACTGTCAAACCACAACTCACTGTTATCTTTTATTAAGTTATTTGTTTGAAATAAAGCTGTTATCTGTTTACTTTATTCTTTTCTCTTCTTTATCCACTGGCATCATGGGATAGGGAAGTACACTATCTTTCCCTTCTAAGCCCCAGATGATAGATACCAGATAAGGATCCAAGATCCTGCTAATTGGCTGCAAGGTATAGCTAGCCCAGGGATCTGCAACCTTTAGCATGCAGCCTGCCAGGGTAAGCTCCCTGGCGGGCCGGGCAGGATTGTTTACCTGCCGCGTCCGCAGGTTCGGCTGATCATGGCTCCCGCTGGCCACAGTTTGCCTTTCCAGGCCAAAGGAGGCTGCGGGAAGCCGCAGCCAGCACATCTCTCGGCTGTTACTGGTTCACTAGCACTGGTAGGAGGTGAGGACATGGCAGATTGTGAAGAGATGAGCATGAAAAGAAACTACTACCTATATATGACCAGGAATTATACTATTTCCTCTTCTCCCCATCTCTACAGAGTGGGAGGGAGAGTCTGAGTAACACCTTGGCCCCTGTTTTCCTCATGCAGTGAACTAGCTATGCACTCAGGTACCTTAGAAATCCAACAGTATCAGGGCAGTGTTGTTCTCACACTGTCCTTGGAGCCAACCTTGCCAAAATTACAGCTTTTCCTGAAGTGATCAAGAAAGAAAAATCCTGAAATTTGTGTTAAACACAAGTAAATCGACCCTACTGACAACAGTTTGTATATTGGAGAACAGAGAGGAATTAGGGGAGACTGTAGCTGGAGTAGATGAAGTAAAGATCCTCTCTCTCTCTTTTCAGAGTAACAGCCGTGTTAGTCTGTAAATTCGCAAAAAGAAAAGGAGTACTTGTGGCACCTTAGAGACTAACCAATTTATTTGAGCATGAGCTTTCGTGAGCTACAGCTCACTTCATCGGATGCATACCGTGGAAACTGCTGTTTCCACGGTATGCATCCGATGAAGTGAGCTGTAGCTCACGAAAGCTCATGCTCAAATAAATTGGTTAGTCTCTAAGGTGCCACAAGTACTCCTTTTCTCTCTCTTTTGTTTTTTATTAAATATTTCCTGTTTGGGGGCCTATTTATGAGAGGATAGTTGCATGGACATTGCCATATTCATTAGTCAGATGTGTATTTTCCTAATATGTACTGGGTAGGCCCCAAAAGTAAATGTGTAGATTTCAGGGGACACAAAAGCATCACATAGAAAATGCAACAGCTGAAGAGAAAACAGTGCTTTAATTTGAAAGATACAGTACTGTCATATTTCAAAATTGTACTTGGGGTGAAGGCTAATTTTTTTTGTCAGAGGAGTAAAATATAAGTTGTTGGGTTTTTTCATTATAATCTTGATAAAGGGAGTTGAGTAAATTTTGAATTTAGGCTGCTATAATTACACGATAATTTTGTAAGGCTGCTACACTGTATATCAGTGGCTGTTGGAGAATATTTTTCACTGAGCCTCTCATTTTCTTCTTGCCTGTTCTGTTTCCAATTTCCTCTTCACTAGTTTTTTCTTCTTTCAACTAAATCAGTATTGAAACATTAACTATCAAACAAGAAATCTAGTTTAAAAATTTCACATATCAATCATTTCCCAATATATAATGTCCTAAACAGTCAGTAGTCTTTTAACAGACAGAAAAAGCCAAACTACTGAAGGTCTCCTCCACATGTTAAAAGTTTGAATAAATGAAAAAGGGCCCAGGGGCATAAATCAGAACTTTTGTGAGCATTGATGGTTGCACTCACCAAGATTGTGGGCTCATTTTTGGAAGTGGCCTTCTGAAAATATTACCTCAAGTTACAACTAAGGACTAAATTCTCACTGCAGTTAGGACTATTCAGTTCTGGTTCCATTCAGAAAATTAATGTGTAAATTATACATGCCAACAAGTGCCTGGGTGTATCTATCTTTTAGGTGGGTGGTGCAATTATTTTCGGGAAGTTGGCCCCTTGATAGTTGCTAATGGTTTAAAATAGCAACTTCAACTCTGACCATGGACTAAAATGGGCAGGCAAACGACGTGACACGGATGTTTGCACCGCTGTGGTCTCTTTGAACTACATCTCCCAAGTACTTCTGCCGCTGTGATCCCACTGGCTGGCGTGTCACTGACATCATGTGTTTTGGCTTTGGCAGGTCACATGTTTCTCAGGGTCTCCTTTGTTTTGAGTTGAGCTGGAGCTAGAGACACAGATCTAAAACAAAAAAGGCAAAGCAAGAGCGCAAGCAGCAGCCCCACTTCCCAGCACCAGGAAATCTGCGGGAGGCAGGACTGAGAGGTAACGGGTGTCTGTGCGTGGCTGTCAGCAAATCACAGCGGCAGTCACCCTGTGTGTTGGGGGGGCTCTAGGGGATGGGGCCAGGAGCCCTGTCACAGCACACCAGGTTGCCTGCTGCCAGCGGGGACGGGTGTAAAGCAGCCTGGGGCAGGGACCGTAGACTTTAGGCCCAGAAGGAACCATCATGCTCATCTTGTCTGACCTCCTGCCCATGGCAGGCCACGGAGCCTCGCCCATCCACTGCTGTAACAGACCCCTAACCCCACAGATCATGGCCAAGGTAGCAGGAGGCTGAGCCGGCCGCTCTCTGGGAGCCTAGTAACGTCCCCCCTTCTCCACAGGTGGGTGTCAAGCTCCCCTCCCCCAGCATCCGGTGTCTAGGTACGGAGCGGTCCCCAGCCTGACGGGGAGGGGGCGCGGGGCTCGGCCGCACGGGGACACGCCTGACCCCAGGCGCGGGGCCACAGAGAACCGGGCTCCACGCCCGGTGCCACCTTGCGCCGGCTGTGTCAGCCGCGGCGGGACAGCGGCCGGGAACGGTGGGGGATTCGTTGTGGTTGAGCCAATCACAGGGGGGTGACCCTTTCTCTGGGGGAAGGGTGCTGTCCCCCCATCACATTAACCCCTCCGGGCCCGGCCAGGGTAGTGCAGGGCCTAGAGAGGGCAGTAACGTTTTTTCTTCCCCTCCCCTGGGTGTATGTGGACTGGGGCAAACCACAACGGAGGGAAGGGGTGGCGCTGCCTCCCCTGGTATTTAGTACTTTGGATCCTTCCTTCCTTGTCCTCCTCCTCTTAATAACAATAGTGTTGGGGGGGATTAAAGGTACTGGCGATTGGATAAAAAGGGAGCAGGAGGCGGGACTTTGGTGCTGCCTCGGTCTGATTGGGCAGAAATATTCGGGAGGGGAGGTGGCTTGTCGCTAAGGCTGCCCCGGGTGAAGGTGAGCTGGAGGGCGCGCGCGTGCGCATACGTGGCAGCCCGTGATGCTGGTGGTGCCTTGAGGGAGCCCGTTGTGGTAATACGCATGCGCACACCATGCGGTGGCCTGCGGAGGTCGGGATGGTTATCGTCTCTGGCGCCAGTCTGAGGCGCCCCCTCCCCCCACCCCTTGGTTCGCCGCCGGACGGTCTCCACCCGGAGCCTGAGGGAAGGGGGCGGGCGGGCCAGGCAGTAGCCCCCCCCCCCCAAACCGCCTAGAGTAGTTGTGTGGAGCGGGCTTCGGCCGGGAAGTGCCAGCTGTGGAGGCCGTCTCAAGTAGGGGGGCCCGGGGCTGCTGTCCCCTTTGTGCCTCCCCCCTGTGGCCCCGGCAGTGGTACGCGCACAGCGCCTGTAGCTGCAAGCGCCCCTGTGTTCTGATTCCAGGTAACAGATTGCCAGTTACCTAGCTCGAGGTAAATACTAGAAACTCCGCAAACCTGGCTTTCTTTGACCTGGAACAACTCTTTGTGGAGAATCTAGGGTACGTCTTCCCTAGCAACGTTAAAGCTCTCCTGGTGCTATTAAAAAAACACCACCAGGAGGGGAACAGCTACCAGCACTGTGCTGCACTAGCTCTCTCCCAGCGCTGTGTCACGACTACACAAGCCACTTTAAAGCGCTTTAACGTTGCTGGTAAAGACGTGCCCTAGGTAAAGCCTTGACTCTCTTTTGCAGAACAGAATCTCTCCGATATAGACAGACCCTGAATTGCATGTTAGTCTGAACTAGTTTGGAAATGCATTTGTTAGGTCTGAAATGCCATTTAAACCATTTTAAAAACGTATACAACTGTGCCTATTTAAAAAAGGGTTTTTTAAATTTCTAGTATAGACAAGTCCAAAGTGGGATTAAAAGAGTACTAAAGTGAGATATTTGGCAGTTCTTCTCAAAGCAGTTAAATGATTTCTGTCCCACACTGATTGTCCTAAATAATTCCAAATCACAGAGATTAGAACAGAGGGGTCACTTAGTTGACAGTGACACAGCAACACAACTGTGTCTCTTTAATATATATTGTTTCTATTGCAAATAATCTAGAGCCTGGTAAATCAAGCACTGGGAAGACTGGTACCAGACTTCTATTTTTGTAGTATTATTCATACTGACAGTACATAGAGTAAACAAGTTATGAGTATATTGCCTCAGCCTGGGAATATTGCCATATGGTCCTCACAACTCACTTAGGCAAAACTCCAGTTGACCTCGGTAGGCCTTTATGTTGCAATCCTTTGTAGCATTTTTTGACATTTCACTCGTGTGCGTGTCTGTGTGTGTGAGTATGGGGAAAGGGGGTGGGGAACAACAACCTTAAAGCACTTTTCGATTGTAACTGCTAGTAAGCAGTTAGCCCTCAGGGCACAAAGTATAAATAGAATCCTTCTGACAATACCTGATGAAATAGCACACAAGTTTCAGGAAATACATTTATAACATATGCAAAATATGTATTTAAATAACATTAGGGCTGTGATGCAATCAGACAAAAGCCAGGTTTCAGAGTAGCAGCTGTGTTAGTCTTTATTCGCAAAAAGAAAAGGAGTACTTGTGGCATCTTAATGACAGGTTTCAGAGTAACAGCCGTGTTAGTCTGTATTCACAAAAAGAGTACTTGTGGCACCTTAGAGACTAACCAATTTATTTGAGCATGAGCTTTCGTGAGCTAGTGAGCTGTAGCTCACGAAAGCTCATGCTCAAATAAATTGGTTAGTCTCTAAGGTGCCACA